TCATGTTCTTAGAACCGCTGGAAAAAGGATATACATATCCCATCGTTTCTTATCCCACAAACCGAAGTATAAATCACTCTGAAAAATTAACGAATGTTACAAAAAAAAATTTTAACAGGACAGAAAAACTAGATGTTGACTGCACGATTGATTTTACATCTGCAAAGGAATTCAAAGAAACCATTTCAAAGCTACGCACAATTATTAAAGTTAGAAAAACTAAACTTGTTTTTCTCCATCTGGAATTTGAGGGGTTTTCTTTTGCAGACGAAGTGCTGAAAAATCGTTTGACTGAGTGGCAATTCCTTGCCCCTGATGAGGACGTATTGAGGCAGTTGCCTATAGATTATCTCTTGCTAATTTTTGGCTACTCAGAGATTGGTAGTGAAGGTGCAACTATTCGCTTACATCTAAAGACGAAATCATCAGACTGCTACTTAGATGAAGATTATGTTGCCAAAGTTAAACTCATACTATGGGATTCTTTGTTATTTAATTATTCAAATCGTTATTTGTGTAATCGTAACTTTAAAACGGATAAATTCATCAAATTTTTACTTTTCTCACTAACTACCGTTTGGATAGGGTATGATTTAGACTGTCAAACTATGATCCAGTGGCACGGAAATGAGTACAGGTATCTGAAAAAGGACTTCCAACATGTCATCATAGCAGTAGGATGCTTTTTGGTTGCGACGCAGTTCCTTTGGCTATTTCAAGTGATAGTAGACAAAAAGAATAAGAACAGGAAGACCAACTTTGAGTACAAAGAAGGAGATAGACCAAGTGGCATCAAACGCGCCATTAAAAAGTTTCTATTTAAAAAGATAGAAATATTTCCAGAAAATTCGCGTGTAAATACATTTTTAAATTGCCCAACCTTTCGGTTTTCGGCTGTTGTGAACTGGACCATATTACTTTTTATTGGTTTCTACAGAGTTGTTTACAGACATAAATTAGCAGAAAACCTTTATCACGCACACTTTATAATAAACTCCAACGAACCTATCTGTGATTTGAAAGAGAGTACGTCATATGGTTGTGATTTGATTTTCATGATGCTCTCAAATTACTTGGTTGTTTTTCTTACACCTCTTTATTACGAATATTCTGAATTTGATAGGGATGAAGATAAAGATGAAGATAAAGATGAAGATAAAGATAAACACACTGAAAAGACTTCAAATTCAACTTCAAATATTTTTTTAGAATCATCAAAAAAACTTCTATATTTTATATTTGATTTTAAAGGTGGTTGGAAAACCCGACTTTCATACGCTTTAATTTTCATCATCTTTCCTTTTGCTTCAATTTTAGTTGTCGTTGCTTCTATGATTCTTTTTGTTTTTTATCTTTTAAAGGTTTTAATAGAAGGGCTACTTTTACCAATTTGTTTTTCCAGTAACTTTAAGCTGTCAACTTTGAAAAAAGTAATAATACTGATAGCATTCGCAATAACATCACGTCCAATGATCAGTTCTCTACTTTTTATGTTAAGATCTGCGACGTACTTCATTTTTATTTTGCTTCCCCTTCAGCCAGAATTACTACATGCTTTCCTTGTGGGACTGTCCATAATAGCGTATGCTATAAAATATGAAATAGAAATGGTTGACCTAAATGTAAAAATTCTTCGACAAATAATAACATGTCATCAGAATTTAAAGATAGAACAAACTGTGGAAGAAAAATTGTACGGACATGTAAAACATAACCTCAAATCATCTCGTAAGAATGTGAGCATTTCTATTTGTAAAACCTTTATTGTATTTATATACTTTCTCATCACACTTCAAACAATTAAGAAAAGCACGAACACTACGAGTAATCTTGAAGATTTTTTTTTGAGTGCTTTTGTTATCGTTTTACCCTGGATTGCGGGTGCGTTTGTAAAGAAGACTCTCTCTGGGAATGACATAAATACAATAACGAAATTAGTAACAGAATATCATGATAAAAATAAGAAAACAATATAAAAACAAGGTGTGTTTGTGAAACACTATGCGCCCGGCGGCAACAAAGTTCAAAAAATCTATTTTTAGCATATTGGTCACAGTCAAGATCACAAGGTCATTGACCTTGGTGTCGTTTGAAAGAACTTAATCGGTGGAGTATGCATATCAAATATGAATTCCCTATCTCCTATGGTTCTAAAGTTATGGCAAAAAGTGTTAAAAGCTATTTTTAGCATATAGGTCACAGTCAAGGTCACAAGATCATTGACATTGTCGTCATTCGAAAGGACTTTATAAGTGGGGTACGTATACCAAATATGAAGTCCCTATCTTCTATGGTTCAAAAGATATGACAAACAGTGGAAAAAACTATTTTAGCATATAGGTCATAGTCAAAGTCATAAGGTCATTGACCTTGACGTCATTTGAAAGGACTTTATTAGAGGAGTATGCATACCAAACATGAAGTCTCTATCTCTTTTTGGTTCAAAAGTTATGGCGAAGGTTAAAGTTGACAACAGACAGACAGACAAACAGACAAACAGATGAACAGACAAACAGAAAAACAGACAAACAGACAGGACAAAAATAATATACGCCCGGGATCTATCGATCCAGGCGCATAATACTGAATCCAAAAAGACTTCAGTGGAAAATAGGGATTCTAGAAGAGGGAATTCAGATCAGTCGAGTAAAGACGAGAATTATATCGTATGTCGCATAATACTGAATCCAAAAAGAATTCAGTGGAAAATAGGGATTCTCGAAGAGGGAATTCAGATCAGTCGAGTAAAGACGAGAATTATATCGTATGTACACCAGCTAGGGTCCTCCACATGAAAATTTTGCCATGGAGGAGGGTGTGCGAAGGCGAAATGAGATCAAAAACATAATATTGTGTGTTAGTCTTCCTGACTCTCATTCATCAATGACGGATTTCACTGTTTTCACAAAACTTAGATCAACCACTGCAACAAAAGTAAAAAATAAAAACTCTTAAAATTTATAAATATCTACACTTTATGCAAAATCATAGAACAAATAATTGATTTTATATAAAACTGTGTTAATTGATAAATTTTGGGATTGTTTAAAACATTCCTTTGGTCGTCCAGAAAAATACCTACTATTTTTCAATGACTCCGCTAAAAGTCGGACACGGACTTTTTGGGCAATATACCCCCCCCCCCCGAAAGAAACGACTTATAGCCGAGTGTGTACGGTACTTTTATTTTAAAAAAGTAGATCTCTGATACCTTTCGTAAAAGCAATTATCTATATACAATAATGTATATGTATTATTAGTATGCCCTCGTAAACGAAGTTTCGGGGATATATTAGTTTTTGTCGTGTCCGTCCGTCTGTTTAGCTGTCTGTCTGTTTTTTCTGTTTGTCTGCAAATGCTTTAACCTTGCCCGTTTCTTTTGATTTGGTGGAGCAATGACTTTCATATTACACATGTGTATTCCTTTTGACAAGACCTTTCTTTGGGTACCACCAAATTTGACCTTTTGACCTTGACCTTGGAGTTTGACCCACCTTTACATGAAAATTTTATACTTTTACTTTGGTCATATCTTTTGAACAATGGATACCAGGACTTTCATATTTCACATATGTATTCTTTGTTGGTAGACCTTTCATTTGATACCAACAACCTTGACCCTTTGCCTTTGACCTTGTAGATTTCCGTACTTGTGAAAAAACTTTAAACTTGGCCATAACTTTTGAACGGTAGGGGAAAGGACTTTCATACTACATATATTCAACCCTTGTGAAAAGACTCTTCATTCGATACCAATAACTTTGACCCTTTGAGTTTGACATAATCTAAAAAGGCAGACCTTTACCATAACTTTGAAAGGGTTGGGACTAGTGGTTTCATACATTACTTATCTAATCCTTGTGGCAATACGCTAGGGCTTCCCTACCCACTGTATACAAAGTGCTTATCGAAAATCTACTTGATTTGGATCACTATCTAATATTTGTTTGGATCATTCGAAGTTTCTGTCTGCACATTTATAGAAAAAAAATGTGCTTTTATATATGACAGGCATTCATCAACAAAAACATACAAAATTAATAATTTTAACGTCGATCACCAATTTACATGTACTATTGTAAAATTTTAAACCATTTTAAAGATCGATTTAAACTCTTCAACTCTTAAACTTTACATATACACATGGTTTTGTAAATATATATGTTCTTAAAAATTTCAAATTCAACATGTTACTAAGTTTGCAAATATATAGTGTTTAGTAGTTTAGTAGTAGTGCTAGTTGTTTTTGTTTTTCTTTTTTTATTTGTTCTTATGACCTTTTAACTAAGTTGTTGATCGGACACATCCGCAGTGAGCTCTATGTATTGATCAAGTAAACGGAGCATTTCGTAATCAAATTTAGTATAAAAATAAAGGTATAACAGTTGGATGAAAGAAGTAAGCCAAAAAAAAAACGACCCAAGATAAATAAAATGATAGGTTGAAAAACATTATTTGTCTCAACAAATTCGTTTCTTTAAAGCAAACTGACACACAAACATCAAGAAGAACCGTAGCATATCGTGGTTAACGCATTCAGTCTTACGCCTATCATGAGCTTTGGTTTTTGCCCTGTTAATTTGTCTACACTACATTTTTGGTACATCACTAAAAAGGGGGGGGGGGGGCAACCAGGCTTTCAGTTAACATTTCCTAAAGTATTTATATAAGTAAGGTTGGGAAAAAAGTTGAGGGGCCACCCCCCCCCACCCCGGTTGCTACGCCCCAGACTGAATCCTTACTTTTGGTACCAACAAATTTGACCTTTATGATTGACCCACTTTGCAAAAAAAAAAAACCTTACAAACATTAACCTTGGTAATAACTTCTGAACAGTTGGTGCTACACATGTGCATTTGTATATACACTGTGGCAAGGCCTTTCCATAGATATATTTTTTTAACTTTTGACCTTGAACATGTTGAACCTTGGAGTTTGACCCAATTTTAAAAACTTTAATCTTTGAACTTTTGAACAGTTAGTACAAGGGCTTTCAAATATCATAGTAACATTCTTAGTACAAGACCCTAGCTCCTTTGTATTCTAATAATTTGACCTTTACCTTGTATAAATAATATGTGAACTACCTTTTTTTCCTAGTTTTTCTTGAAACTGGCTCATTTGATTGTCCTCGTTTTTTCCCAGCATCCCTTCTACTGTTGTTATTTAGAGCTTTGGGAGGTGTATACTGAAAAATACAAATAAATATACACATATGTGGCAAAAGTGATGCTCTCAGAAAGTAAAAAAAAAAATCAGTGTGGCTGCAGAACTTTAGCATTATGGTTTTATTGTTTACTCATTGACTTTACGCATGTTTATGCTACAGTTCTGCAGCTACATTCAGTAACGCTTAGAGAAAAAAAAATAAAATCACATATTTTCATGGGGGCAAATTTTCAAGGTTTGAGAAAAAGAAATTGATTTGTGGATATTTGATTTTGTGGTTGAAGAAGTATTGAGCAGCAATGCATATCAAGTTTGACATTTTGTTGTGGTCATGAAATTGTGGGTCTCTCCTTACCTCAAAAACACTGAAAATAAACCCCAGACAAAAATCTGTGATTTCACAGTACAGTACCTGAAAGCATGTGTCTGTTGCATTTCAGTCACTGTCTCTTGCATTACAAGATATCCATTTTATTGTCCCCCGCTTTCGCAAAAGCGAGGGGACATTAAATCTCATTCGTATCTGTCTGTCCGTCCGTCCGTCTGTCCGTCGGTCTGTCCGTCCGTCACAAAAACTTTTAACCTTGTCCATAACTTTTGATTTTGTGGAGCTATGACTTTCATATTTCATATGTATATTCCTTGTCACAAGACCTTTCTTTGAGTACCACTAAATTTGACCTTTTGACCTTGACCTTGGAGTTTGATAAACTTTTACACAAAAATTCCAAATTTTTACTTTAGCCATAACTTTTGAATGGTAGGTACTAGGACTTTCATATTTCACATATGTATACTTTGTAGCAAGACCTTTGATTGGATACCAACAATTTTGACCTTTTGACCTTGACCTTGGAGATTTCTGTACTTATCAAAAAACTTTAACCTTGACCAATACTTTTGAATGGTAAGGACTAGGGCTTTCATCCTTCACATATATAATTCTTGTGAGAAGTACCAAGAACTTTGTCCCTTGGACCTTGACCTCGGAGTTTGACCTACTTTTCAAAATCTTTGACCTTGGCCACAACTTTTGAACAGAAGATACCAGGACTTTCATTTTTCACATATGTATTCCTTGTGGCAAGACCTTTCATTTGATACCAACAACTTTGACCTTTTGACCTTGACCTTGGAGATTTTTTGTACTTATGAGAAAATTTTAACCTTGACCATAACTTTTGAATGGTAAGGGCTAGGGCTTTCATATTTCACATATGTATACTTTGTAGCAAGTCCTTTGATTGGATACTAACAACATTGACCTTTTGACCTTAACCATGGAGATTTTCGAACTTATCAATAAACTTTAACCTTGACCATAACTTTTGAATGGTAAGGGCTAGGGCTTTCATATTTCGTGTATATAATTCTTGTGAGAAGTCCTATCTTTGAATACCAAAAACTTTGCCCCTTAGACCTGGACCTTAAAGTTTGACCTACTTTTCAAAAACTTTGACCTTGGTCACAACATTTGAAAAATAGATACCAGGACTTACATATTTCACATATGTATTCCTTGTGGCAAGACCTTTCATTTGATACCAACAACTTTGACTTTTTGACCTTGGATATTTTTTTGTACTTATGAGAAAACTTTTACCTTGACCATTCCTTTTGAATGGTAAGGGCTATGGCTTTTATACTTCACATATATAATTCTTTTGAGAAGACTTTTCATTGGATATCAAAAACTTTAACAATTTTGACCCCTTGACCTTGGAGTTCAGTGATAATATTCTAAGTAGATGACATATGATAGGGCGTTCATATTAGACACAAAATGTCATCAAAAAATGACATCTCACCCAAAAAGACACCGAAAGCGGGGGACCACAATTCTTTGAATTTGCTTGTTTGTACAAAAACAAAATGAAATGGAAAAATTTCATTCTATATTCTAAAGAACAGCAATTTTACTGAAAAGAAATTTCCAAAGCATATTGTAAACAGGTTTCTGTTAATTCTATTCACCACAGTTTTATCCTACAGGGTGAAAACTTCTGATTATGGATATTTTGATTACTGAGGTTCAACTGTATTTCATACTTAGGGATCAACACAGGGTTCAATAAACTGGAATTCATTATTTTTGGTTTGAAATGTGTGCACAAATACATGTAATAATTTTTGGTTAAACACTATTTGCTCATACATACCCATACCCCAGGTTCCCTAATTCCTGGACTTTTTCCATCTCTTGGACAAGCTAATTCCGGAAGAATTGCTTTTTCATAAAAAGCTTTCAACTTTGGCAACATCATATTCCATAGCTGTTCATTTCTGGGTATTCTCTGTACAAACAGATGATAGGGATTCAAAGTTCTCACAACAAAATCAAACCAATCAGTCCTACATATGTTCATGAGTCCTTGACACTGATAATAATAATCATGGTTCTCTTTCAAAAACAACTTTCCATTTCTGTTTTGAAGACAGAAACAGAAAGAATTAATTTTGTCTGCTGCTTCAAAAAGGTTCAAATGCTTATTATGTATTAAATTCTTTATCTCTATCAGACCCTTCTCCCCGTTCGCAGTATACACAATACCATCTGGGCTTCTTGCAAGAAAATTGTGGTTATGATCAATAACTAATCCTGATTCTTGAACAGTAACATTTTCATTTTCTTTTTCAGTTTATATTTTCAATTGTAGATCTTTCTTGCAGTAATCCATTTCTAGTATGTCTGTTTCCTTTGAAATTTGAGTAGAGGAGGGAATGTACTAACTTATTTACAGGAATAGAGGGTTTACATCGAAAAACCTTTCCAAAAGTTGAGGCTGTGATCCTTTAGTTCTCTCTTAATGTCAGAGTCCAGAAGTTGATTGTTGTAATGTGGAATTTTGAATTTGATGAATCTGAGTGGAAGAGACAAGGACATGATTGGTGAGGAATTCTTGTTTTTTGGCCACTAATTCTGAATCTGTCACATCCTCACAAACCTCAGTAGCCTTCTCTCCATAAGCTCTCTTCGCTTTATTGGTGGTACTCTGCTTGAGACTCCGTATTTTTTTCAGAAAACGGTTTTTCTTTGTTTGTGGCTTCTTTTGGTGCTCTTTACTTTGTGCCAACTTAGCTTCCTGCCTTTTGAAAAACTTTAGTAAAGAATGATCCAGGCTGTGTTGCCGTTGATTGCTTCCAAACAACTGGTGACCACTGTGGTCCATAATTCATGCGTAAGCCCCCTCCATAACATCTCACATGCCATGAGGCTCATTGGCAAAGATTGTGAATCTTTCCACCATCAAATTTAGAAAGGTTGCGCTTGCCTTTGTAAAGTGGATTATCTGTCACTAGCTTCTGAAGGTTTGATCTATAACATTTAGAAACATGGTTTGCACACTCCTCTTTCTCAACAGCCCTTCCCCAAAGAGGCACCTCTCCCTAATCTTGGCAAAAACAGATGAGTCTCCATCACCTATGATGCGCATATACCGCAATCCATGTTTACCCTCTGCTTGCTTCAAACCATACCACAATTATGTCAATCTCCATAGACTGACTATCTGAGTCCCAGTTCTTAAAACAGTCATATTGTTTTTGGATCTATTAGCTTGTTCTTGGCTGTTTGGCACACAAAACAATACTTATTCCTTACCCCTATAAGTAGCAACTTTCCTGTTTCTTTCCAAATAATGATAGCTACACTACCAAGGGCATTATAGCTATGTTTGTGTGTACGTTTCTGGACCAGCCACCATATCTGTTATCACAGTTATTGCAGGGACCTCTTGATGGTAATCCCCCCTCTCTATTGCTAGGCTGCGCTCCTGTGCCCAAGCTTCTAAAATTTTGCTCTAGAAAGAGCCGAAAGCCACCGTCCCCCAATCTCCTTTTCAATTAGAAATCAAAACAAAAATAAGATGATAGGCAGGAAGGTGCATTGGTACAACTAGTTAGATGGGATGGCCCATTCCATGAGCATGTGCTCCCCATACTGCACAGACATTATCCAAAATCTAAAATCACGAATTTACATCTCCTATTTTTCTTTATTCTTAAACTTACAAAATAATGCTTATGGCGATTAGTTTCATACCAGAGAAACCGGTGGGGACTAAAGATTTCCTTGGTGTCTGACCATCTCTCTGTCTCTTTGTCAGTCTGTCCCACTTTGTTTTCTGCACACTTGCAGTTAATGAGATGATGTTTGGTAAGTAAATGTATGCTGATGAGTAAAAGATCAAGTTTGCATTTGTTCCACTTCAATGATTTTTGACTGAATTATGACCTTTTTAATTTTTGAGTTTTCAGCAATACTAGTCCCCTACCAGTAAGTGTAATCTGGTTCCCATTAAAAATTGAAAATGCAGTATTTCTCTCCAAATTCATTGAGTTCCAATGAAATGCAAACTTGATCTTTAACCCATCAAGGAAAAGTCACATACCAAAAATCAGGTCATTATCTGCTAGCGTTAAGAAAAAGAAGAAGTCTGCGACCAAATGCTCACTTTTAATACTCCTGCTCTGATGTGATTATGCCCCCTCATGTTGACAATGAATTCATACGAAAATGAAACCCATAATATGTCATGCCTCAAAAGAGTGTGCTAAAATTTCAGGCATCTGCAGTGAGTAATTGTTGAGAAAACTGTAAACTAGAAATTTAGTAAAGATAGATGCATGGATAAACAGGAAGTCATATCAGATTCAAACAAAAATAAACCCCATGCACATACCTAGGAGAGTATTGATAAAATTTCAAGTACCTGTGATGAGAACTTGGTGGTGAGAAAACTGCAATGAAAATGTGTTATGGACAAACAGACGGACACAAAAAGCTAGAGCGGTACCCCCCACTCCAAAAGGAGCAGGGGTATAACAGAGGGCCCATGGGCCACATCACTCACCTGAGAAGCTTTCACCATGCAGATTTCCCCCTTGTAATACCTACTGTATCCCCAGTCGATTTGCCCAAGGGTCTTAATTTGGACAATTCAACTTCCCTCTTGTGGCCCCGCCCAATCCCCGGGGGTCATGATTTGAACAATTTAGAATTTACACTACCCCCGGATGCTTTCGCATAACAGTGGTTCTTGAGAAGAAGTTTTTTTAATGACCCCATTCTATTTTTGTCTTTTCTTAATTATCTTCCCTTGTGAGAGGACCTGCTGGCCCCTCATTTTAACAATTTAAAGTCCCCTTCACCCAAGTATTCTTTGTTCCAAGTTTGATTAAAATTGGCTAAGTGGTTCTTCAGAAGAAATAGAAAATGTGAAAAGTTTACAGACAGACAGCTAGATGGATGGATGACGGACAAAATGATTAGGAAAGATTCGGCTCAGGTGAGCTAAAAAGTGTGGAAAACTAAGTGGGAAAGACTTTCAAAGGGACAGACAGAGAGGGGGATGGACAGCAGACAGACAGACCCCAGGAAACATTCCCATCCGGGTTTTAACCAAAAGAGGACTAATAAAGTTTTCTCTTATAAAATTCTCCTGAACTCATGTATGAATAAATATAAATTTGTGGTACATGTACATGTTTATTATCTACAAAACCTTTTAATGGATTAAAAGAACCTTTGTTGTGCAGTGGTTATAAAGAATCTGCTCTGGAGATGTGGAAGAGTAAGGAACTGATCCTTATGTGTCTGGTTAATCCACTGCATGACATGTAGACAAGTCCTTCATTTAGACAGTATAAATGTAGATCTAGTCTTGCAAATATGTTTTGGCAAAAAAGATCCTTCACAGCTCAATTGCCCTAGTGTCAAGTATAGGTAAAATTTTCCCTACACTGGCAAGTGAAAAACTTGGAGACAGATTCTGAAGTTAAACAACAAATTCACATTTATCTATCGATCTATGTGAAAGTTGTCTTAGCTAATCTTTGACAAACTAAAACCCGAGTCCAATGCTCACCTGATTCCTCTTATTGTTATAAATATTTCCTAAAGACAAATTTTGACACCATGTTATGGTCCTAACTTGCCCTTCCTTACCAAACTTCAATCTACACTACATATGGATTATGAATAGCAGTGGTTTAAATGCCCAGTATTGGCCTTGCTATTTGGAGAATTGACAAAAAGCATAACTATTTTATCCCTATATTATCCCCATCCCATATCAAGTATTCAGTAAAAAAAATCACACATTCACAAAATGTGCATAAATAAATTACATATCAATATGCTTTCTTGTTGAACCCTAAAGTTCTCATTTTTTTAAAAAATATTCCCTATATTTCCATGTTTTTTAAAAAAGAACTTTCCAATGTCCATTTCCATGATTTCTTTCAAATATGAATTAGTATAAAAATTTGATGTTTTCACACAACTAGATGATTCAGTGCTATTTGTGGAGGGATTTTAAAGAAAATCTTATAATCCATGTGAATATTTCATTTCCTGTAACTATCTAAATTTCAAAAAGTTACAAAATTTGAATATGCACTGAATGTGAATGCTTGATTAATGACATAAATGATTTTAAAACCATATAGAATATAAAAGTAAGCCAAAAAACAATAGTTTATTTCCTGCTACCACCCTGAAAAAAATGGGGTAGGTAGGTAGGAAAATTATTTTATTTTTTATTTATTTTATTTTTTCCAATGGTTTTTTTGGGGGATATGAACTGCTACAAAAACAAATCAAACATGTCATAGCTTGGTTACATAATTTTTAAAAATAAAATTCCAATTTTGATGCACAACTAAAGTGGTTTTTTTAAAAGTCCATATTTTTTAGTTATATTTTTCACAAAATAAAATTTAAATGTATATTTTTTTTCAATTTTGGAACAAAAAATTCCTGCAATCTCCTTTTTTTCCCCCAAAAGATTAAAAAAAAACTTAAGGATTGGGTGCAAAAAAAATTTTTGGTAGGTTGGGTAGCAGGGAACAAGACTATTTTTTGGAGGGGGGGCTAAAGAAAAAATATGTAAATCTGTGATTTATTACATCCCTAATAATTGTGTTATTTTACTTTAAAACTAGAAATACCACGGTGGTTTTAAGTTTTATCAGAATTACCCATTACGTGACCTCCTAATCTTGTGTGAGGCTGTACCGATGTAGCAAGATATTATTTGTTACCAATTCTTAGCTGGGGGGATTAAATAATTTTTTAAAAAAGAAACTTAAAAGGTAAAACTTTAAAAAAATATTTTTTGGGATTGCGGGTTCCCCTTTTTAAACCCTTTTTAAATTTCATAATGCTGTATATACACTTTACCTCTTTGAACCTGGAAAGCGAGGACTTGTTTCAAACTTAAATTGTTTTTTACATCCATTGCACTGCACAGCAAATACACTTGCTAGGCCAAGGCTTCTGCTCTCTGTCAGCACACTAATCAGTGCTTTACCATTTGATCCAGGGGAATAGCATCACTACACAGACATGCATGTAGTGTAATTTCAT